CAGCAATCAACTAGCCACTAAAGTTACTGCTCTGAGTGCTCCGGGGACATATCCTCCGTTATCTTCGGGTCGATCAAAAGGTGACACTGCCGCTGTAACTCAGGTCAGCTCAAGCCGTCGGTTTGCTCTTGTTCACCTGTTCCTGCGGAATAATCAAACAGATATTACTGACCTTGGACGTTTTTTTCATTCGGTTGGCCAAATGCAACCACCCCGTTTCCAGGATGTCGCAAGCAAACTGGGCATTTCAATGACGTTTAATGAATACCAAATGCTGATCAGTCCACAAGTAGCGAACTACGTGATAGATGAAACCACCGAGGAACAACGTTTGGGCTAGCCTTCTACCATATGGTCAGGCGACCGCCAAAAGCTATCACTAGCCTCTCTACGTATCTGTCTTCATTCCCACCTACCTGTTTTTCTACTGGTATATGAGGGAAAATGCAACCCCAATTTTGCGCCTTGTCAGTTTCCCCGCTCTCTCTGGAAAAAATTGAGTTTTTCTGCTTTTCACAGATCTTCCTCCAGCTTATTCTCATAATTTTCTCTTGAAGCAGCTATAACAGTTCCATCATGCAGATATCACGTCCAGCAGTAAGCAATTTTAATTCACAGGAGTGGGCACTTTACATCCAAAAACAACATCTGCGTTTATGTAACCAGAGAATATAGAATGAATGGCAAATCGTTTTATATACATTGAAAAGAAAAACTGTGAAAACTGCACCCTGCAAAACATCAGAAACAACCGGGCAAGTAAAATATTAGTTTCCGTTTGGATACATGAATTGCTTCTATTCATGAGATAATAACGACCGATCTGCCAACGTTTGAATGAACACCACTTTCGGTACTCAGGTTTAGCAATACCAATCAGCTAAGACTGCCGAATGCATTTGTGTCATCTAAGAAATGATCTGTCTCAATTATGCGGCAAAAACACGATCGAGAACCGAATATAATGTCCAACGGGAGTAACCACACCGGTCACGTGATCTCTCGACGCCGAATTTAAAAGCGGCGGGCAGCGAGTAAGCAAATAGGTAGCTGAGCATAGGTGCTTTTACGTAAAAAACAACAATAGTAAAATAAAACGCGAAATAAGCCATCTCAAAGGAAATTGTTTGGGAGTGGGAAGGATTTTCAATACCCATTGAATACAACCATCGTCGAAAGTTTGAGTCTTCTAACCGATTGATCGGTTCCTCTAGATTTTGGTATGTCAATTCGCCGGGCAACCTGTTGATCTCACCTGACTCCATTGTTCTACGTCAGTTTTCTGATAAACCATGGCGAAGCGATTGACTACAAACGTACTGAACCGCACTTTGACGCTTTTAACCTAGTGCAGCGTTAAGATCAAGTCAGTCAAGAACGTGGCTTTTCAGTGGGCCTGACCAAAGCACCTTTTCATTACCGAGGTAATAAGCACTGACAGACAAGCTGCATTAATTGGTAGTCGCGGCCGGGAGCAGCTTGGGTTGGGGGTAAGGTCAAGCGGTTCTGCGAACAGCAAACTCCGCAACCTCCTCCAACCCACAGAACACGTATTCCACTGCTTCTTATCGCCTTTCTGAAGCATCGGAAAATATAAGCAGTACGGCCGTTTCTTGGTGTTTTAAAGTTGGCAGCAGCCGAGCTCGATCTGTCCCACTGCCCATCTCGTCTATTCATGGCGGTCCTAGAGGTCAAGATGGTTGTTCCATTTATTGTTTCTTCTACTCAGACTTGGAAGCAAAAACTTTTCCGTTGAAACCCCGAAAGTTATATATCCCAATCGCGCCTATAAGGACGATCTTTCCCCTTGTGTGGTGTTTGTTCTTATCTATACCGATCAGCTGTAACGAGTGCTGTTTCAACTTTCTTTCTTGCTTTTTGTTCCAGGTTCTTATCGGAAAACTCGGGCGCGGGGGGGGGGGGGGGGAGTGGCGTACAGATAGAGAACACAACAAGAAAGAAGATTGTCACGTTTACCCCCACCTTCAGCTCCAGCAAAATGAGGATATCGAATATCTTTTCCTGAGAGACCTGGATAGTGTTGTTCTGGCTCCTGCCCAGCTGCAACAGTCTTCATTTTCAACAAGGATAAACCACAAATGGGGCAAGTAGCGGAACAGGCAAACCACAAAGTGGAACAGTTTACAAGCATGTTGCATCCTCGGTCTTCATCCACTACAGGAACAATACGATACCATTAGTTGGTGGCAAATTATTCACAAGTTATGTTTCCAATCATCGCTATTTTGAGATCATGTAATAATGCAAAGGTATTTATCAAACTCGTGTAACATGAAACTTAATCTAGAAATACATATTTCAGTTTCCAATAAAATACGTTCATATTGGATAAATTTCTATTCTTCCGAACTTTATCTCTTTTACTGCAGTGTTCTTCATTCCCTTATTTTACTACTAGAATACCCACGATAGAATATGTAGTAGTTCGAAAGTTAGTGCAAATCTCCTAATGTATGTTGTTTTCTCGCATTTCTACAGTTTCTGGTTAAAAAAGTTCTAATGTCGAATTCTTTCAGTTATTACCCAACAGCCCGGAACCGAACTTAATAGAAAACTTTTCTTTTTTGGAAAAAAGGTTTAAGTTGCTTACTTATGCAGTGATAGTCATGGGCCGGGGTGCGACATGCACTGGAGGAAGCTGCGTAATGCAATTTACTTGTAAATTTGGTGGACTCCATGCTGAGACCACTGGCCTAAATGCTCAAAGAAGGCGTTTTTGTTGTCATTTCTTATCAGATCAGAATGCTTGAAAAACATATATGTGCAGTTAGGTTTTGCACCCTGTGTGTTGAACATAGAGGTTCACTTTCTTTCCCGCCCTCCAATCAGGCCAAATCTCTTTATCTCGTGATTTATGTACATCGAGAGATTGGAAGCGATCAGCGAAGTTCGCGTCACACTGCTGCTGCNGCTGCTGATGCCCAAACGTCATTTTTCTCTTTACTCGTCTTTTTGTTTGCCTTTGCATTAAATTGCCAGTAAATGGCAACAGTTGTGCGCACATCTGTCTTTCAGTTTGAACGCCCTTAACTTCATTTTAAGGGGTTTGCACGCTGTTTGGACCGTTGGTTGTGTTTTTTAACGAAATATATTTCCGCTGACAAACCCGTGTCCTCTGATTTCATCCGATTATTAGTTGATTGTTCGCCAGTTACCGGATCCTTGGGTGTTTTTGTTCACATCACAAAGCTCTAATACTAACTAGTTCGCATTCTTCATTTTATATCCCATATTGTTGCGATATAGGGCAAATTATCCTTTGTATTTCACCTCGGCGTGATAGTGCATCGGTGTCCTAGGTTACAGAATAGCTTGACGAGGACGGGTAACCCGATACGATCACAAAAACGGTAAGGGATACCACAGTATATTTTTTCTGTTATACAATTCAACCGTTTTCAAGGAGACAAAATTTATTCTGAGTTTCGTTGGCGAGCAATAAGTTTATAACAAAACAGCAGTTGGTTGGATGCAAAGCGATATCGCTCGGGTCTGATTGAGACACTCAACTCAAAGCCGCAGACAACAAATTTGTGGTGACTGAAAAAAAGAATAGAATTGCGGTTCGAGCGCGCGTGAACGATGGTGAAATGATGAAATAAAATAATCTAGTGTTAGCTTTGGTCGATTTTCGGGACTCGACCAACTACATTACTGAAGTTGGGGGAACGAAAAACGAAGCGAAAATAAATGACTAACTAGAAAGTCTTCTATCTAGCGGTATGTCAAACTTCTCAGTATGTAAAGAAGCTATCCACTGAGCTCGAGTGTCTACATTATTCTACAAGGGTTGTCAAAAATCGCTGTGAAAACTGAAAATATATTTCCACCTGAATGTTACCATACGGGGAAGTTTCCGTTTCATTTTCAAGCTCTGAACAAAAAATGTTGAATAATAACCACCGGAGACATGCAAAATGTTACATGACCACACCAATAAATAGATCAAGAAAATAGTTGTTCGAGTCCATTCAAAATACTCGTGAGTAATTAAATCATTCCTAAAACAGACAGTATTTTGATGTGATTTACTGGGTTGAACGCGAATTGTATGACTGTCCATGCATTGTGGAAAACAAAGACACTTCCGGATAAAGTATGCTGATAGCCAAGTCAAAACATAAAACATTTAACTGACAGCATAACCATCCCCAGAGCTTGCACTACTGCTAGTGTTCTGAGGTCCTGCTCACACTTGTTGCTAGTATAGCTGGCTTGGTGGTTTCTCACAACGGTCAAAAATGATCAAGATCTCCTAGATTGAATCACTATGTTGAAAAATGATAACTGCGGACTGTTCCATTCATTATCTCATGTGCTGCTGGGACTTTGGATCACATGTTCCAAATGGGACATCTTTTTACATGTACGCCAGTTTATCCATAACCTAACTGTGGTTCATCATAAACAGTTCTCCTCAAACCAGTTCCGGTCTTTTGGAATCATAACAACTGGTGCCGTCATTGGGATGAACGTTCAATGGCCTGCAGCGTTCGAACGTGGAGACGCACGGACTTTCCTGGAGGAGTTCGAGGACATCGCGGAGCTTACGGGGATACGGACGGACAAGGGTAGTTTGACAGTCCTCCGAGTGCTTCTCAAGGGCCGTACGCGAGCGGTGTTGGGGGCGGCGCGAAGAAGCCCGGAGAGAATGTTTTGAGCAGCCGCGAAGGACGTCCTGATCCCAGGTCTCGACACCCGGGCCGACTGCCAGGGGGAGTTGCGGCGTTTCAAGACGGCGCAGCTCGGACTTGGCGTAGACGCCCTGTCGCATGCTGTGTCCCTGCACACCATGTTGGATCGAGTGCTGCCAACTTTTAACAAAGCCGCTCACTCGGAATTATTGCTGGATCATTTCACGGAGAGTCTGCTGGACAATATACGGGAGAAGGCGCGAATGGTCGACGTGGGGCGTGCCATGGGTGTATTCACGCTGGCTGCAGTTGTGGTGTAGTTAGCCGATTATGAAGTTTCGTCTTTCCAGACACAAATTAGCCAAACGATAGCCGACAGAAGAAGTTATGACAGTCCTGAAACAGTTGACAGAAGAAGTCGAACTGTGGAGTAAGGAAGAACAGGAATGTATAATTTAACTACTGTGAGTTGGTTCACTGGCGAAGGAATTGCCTAGAAGTGTACGGTAAACGTTCTCTCGCCAAACGATTGATTCAACACATGCCCATCTTCCCAAAGAAAGAAATTATTGGAGCGTTAGGTCACGGCGCAATCCAGGCCCACTTAGAGGTAGGGGATCGAAAAGAAATATGCTTGATCGATACGGGCGTGGCAGTATTTTTGGTGAGACCCCAAGCAAATGAGACCCTGGAAGCATGAAATGCAGCTGTAAAAGCAGTTCGTGGGTACCGGTTGAAAGTAGGCGGAGTAGCAAAACGGACCGTTCGTGTTGGAAAAAAGATAAACGATAATCCGTTTATTATATCAAAAGACACGGGTCAGACTGTACTGTGAGCAGATATCTTGCGCGGTTCAACGGCCTCGGTTGATGTAAGCGACGGACAACTCGTCACCAAATTTGGCCCGATCTCGCTGTTGTACTGGAATGCGAAGGAGTTGTTAGCCGTAATTACGGAGACGGTACACTCGAATGTATTGTCGCTATTTCAGTCAGTGACACAAAGATACACCTATTTGTTCACAGGCAATGATGACCTGTACGGGTTCTGTAACTGTGTGGAACACGAAATTCCAACAAAGGGGAATTTCGAGCCTTTGTTTTACCCCGAATACCACTTCACTTGGAGGACGAAGTCAAGCGGCAGGTGGAACAAATGTTAAAGGGGAGAATCACTGAAGAAGCCCAAAGTCCGTATAACTCTCCAGCGCTGCTGGTCAAAAAGATCAGTCTCAAGTTCGGATCTGCGTAGATTCCCAAAAAGTAAACACCGTGACTGTTAACATACCGGTTCTAGTCCCGATTGTACCAGAAATTTTGATCAAATACAAAGAGCAAAAGTGTCCTCTAGGGTGGATTTATGTTGGGAATATTAGCAACTACTAATAAAGAAAGCCGATCGGGAGAAAACTGCGTTCAAAGTCGGCGATAAATAATAACAGTGCAACAAACCCACGCTGTGCCCCAAAGCGTATGACCAGTACCAGTTCAAACGAATATCGTTCGAACTATCAGGAGAACCATTTACATTCTGTCTCCTTATGCTAAACTTAATCGAGGGTGTCTCCAACGTGGTTGTGTATGGCGACGATATTGTTGTCTACAATCAAACAACAGCCGAACACATGTTCCACTTCAAAAACTTTATGAAAAGAATACAAGAATCTGCTCTTCGGATTAATGTGTCGAAATCATAAATTCGGAAGCCAACGGTGACTGTACTTGGTCATAGGGTTGGAAACGAAGAGGCAAGACAATTTCCTGAAAAGATCCTCAAGTTAAAGGATTTTGCACGTTCAACATTGAAAAACAAAATTAAGACGGTTGCTGGGCTGTGCCGCATACCACGCTTGTTCGTCAAAAATTTTACGAATATCGCTGAACCGTTGTACGACCTGCTCAAGAAAGAACATCGCTTTTGATGAACACCAGAAGCCCAGAAAGTATTTGATGAACTTCAAAGCCTCACGATTGAACAGTACCTGACACTGAAGTTACCGGTCTTTGGTGAGCGTTTCACAGTCGTGGCCGATGCCAGTGACGTTAGAGTTTGAGCTGTACTCAATAAAGCAAGTTTATTGGTTGAATACGCAAGTAGGCTCCTTACTCCAGCGGAACGGCAATACTCCACCACGGAAAAGGAATGTCTTGCCATTGCTTGGATAGTGGATAAGTGGTGACCATATCATCTGGGTCACAGGTTCCATATAGAAACGGGACACAAACCGCTGGAGTGGATTGGAACCGCCAAGGACCTGAGAGGAAAATCAGCTCGATGGGCGCTTCGGCTACAAGAGTACGATTTCACGATCAATCATATTACAGGTATCAAAAACTGTATGACAACTATTTTATCTCCTCAGGAGGAAACATTTTCTTTCAGTGTCGGTATGCTGACAGTTGGACAAGACCCACAAAAAATAGTGAAGGAAGAGAGCAAGGAGCAACAACTCTGCCAGGTGATTGAGGCAATCTCTCAAGGTCAACAATATCGAATCGCGTAGCATAGCAGACACATGAAGTCATGGAGATCCGTATGGAAGTAGCTTTATTTGAATATATATCTGATGTCTTAATGAAACGACTGCCCGGAAGAAATTGCCACGTAGTTGTCATCCCGAAACCGTTGCACTAAATTCTTATTAAAATCATGAACTGGCACACAATGGTTGCGCACCAACTTACGATTTGCTTTGAAAGCGCGCTTATTGGCCAAATATGCAGACAGATGTGATAAACCAAGTGTTGGTTTGTGAAAAGTGTCAACTTTTCAAGTCAGAGCCGCCAAGCACAATGCCCATTTCAATCAATACCAGTATCAGTGATCGGTGTATTATGGCCCATCAATTTTATGGGTCCGTTTCCCAGGTCCCCTAGAAGACGCCCATACATTGTTGTAATGACGAAGCACCTCACGTGCTGGATCGAAGCTGTAGGAGTCGCGGATCAAAAAGCCGCTACGATAAGCAGAGTTGTGATGTAGCGCATCGTGGCAAATCTTGGTGTACCTCAAGCCACCCTTACGGATGAAGGCCTGTGCTTTGAGAGTCATGAATTTCGCACGTGCATGCAGAATTTAGGCATCAAAAGGATACGCAAAACGCCTTATCACCAACAAACTAACGGCCTAGCCGAAGGAAAGGACAGGACAATCATTGAATGGTTGGCAGCGAAAGGAGGGGATTGGGAGTCAGTCCTACCTTCACTGATTTTAACATACCTTTCGTCCGCGCAGGCCAGTACCAAACATACACGATTTCAACTTATGTATGGAAGAATTTCAAAGCTGACAGTGGATCTCGACTTTGGCCGGCGGCCGCGAAATGACAACAACTTCAACATGCAAAAGGTTAGGTCCGGGAATAACTGACAAAGTTACAGAAGGACACAATGCGCAATTCCAGGATACAAAATAGACGGGTGGCATGCGTGATTTCGGTCGGATCTAAAGTACAGTATATACGGCATATTGGGCATTCGTCAGCAGCCCTCTAGGAAGTTGCTCCCTAGATGGAAAGATCCATACGCCATAGTTGGAGAACACCATTCCGTATGCAAAATACACGGATGAACAAACAATCTCGCAATGTGGCACGAGGAAGAGTCCAGCACACGATTTAAACGAAAGAAAGAAGGTCCTGAATCCCATTACAAAGTAACAAACACGACGCTGCCCGACATTGGAAACCGAATACAGATACGTTCACAATACAAGAAGCAATCGACTATTGGTTGAGGCATTCAGAAATCCTTTTTCTTGAGGGAAGGACTGTTGTGACCTTCTTTTCACACTTATGGCCAATATGGCTGGAGTGCGCAATGAAATGTGGGTGGTGGTTTCTCACAACGATCAGAAATGAAGAAGACCTCCTAGAATGAATTATTGTGTTGAAAAATTATAATTACGGACTGTTCTATTTATTATCCTGTGTGCCGCTGGGAATTTTGACCATATGTTTCAAATGAGACGTCATGTTATATGTACGCCAATTTATCCATACCCTAAATGTGATTCATAATAAACAGTTCTCCTCGAACCAGTACTGATCGTTTGGAGGCATTACGCTATAATTACAACTATTAACGCTACCACTACCACTGCTTCCACTGATAATAATACTGATACCGTTACGTTTGCGCCGGATGCTAGTTCCATGGATTCAAAGCCTGATATAGGCAGTTATTATTAACCTGTAACACTCAGAATCAAGTGTATTCAGGTGATCGGATTTTTCCTCCTTTGTGGTCCAAATTAGATATTTATGCGCAATCAGAAACGAAGTAGCAGCCACCACGTTTCTCAATGAAGTGATATTTTAGTCCGCCGATATGGCAGTGGTCTTGTGTCCTCTGGTATTTCTACTAGGTTATCTGGAACCTTAAAGGATGCGTACAAGAACTGATGCTTTATCCTTGACACTGAGATATGCTTTTGTGCTGGGACCGATACCAAGGAAAACAATCGTTTCAGTTTTACTCGTTGTCAACTATCAACTGGGATCTCAACAGACACAAAGAACTTAGCTTTCCAAATGAAGTTTATTTTCATTACCGTACCACTAATTTATTCTAAGAAAGAGGGTTTTAGAAATCGTACCTGATTTTAATCTCTCCTCTTTATAACTTGTCAACTCACACCAGGATACCCGCAGGTACTATTGTTTAAAAAGAACTATATTGTTGAATATTCTCCTCTAACGGAAGCATTTGGAATACACATGCAATCATGCTGCTACCATAAAGAATTTAAGGAACTCAAAAGGTGGATAGGGCGTGAAATGAAACGGAGTATTATAAGAAGATCAAACACACTGTCGGGTGATATGATGTATCTCGATGAAAATGTGGGACAGAATCAATTAACTGGCTTAGTACTACTAAAATACTACTGTGCCTTCGTAGGCAAGATTCACATCCAACACGTCCACAAAGCTCACCTTCAATACTGACCGGTTTGAACTGAAGGCGCTTCCTGTAACTCGGTGGCGATAAACTCATGGCTTATTTGTGCATTTCACGCGACAGACTGAAAGGTGAAACAGGATAGAATACAGATATAATCAATCTTTCCAGTGAGCTACGAATAAAGTCAAATTTAGCTGTATCTAATCAGTGTAGTGCATATCTAGTTTGAGTTATCAAATTATAAATGGTCGCATGAAGTGGTTTCATTTCTTCAAGGTAAAGAAATAACAGAAACACCTAAGTCTGGAACAGTGTTCAAGCAGTTGTTCCTGGAACAGAGAAGTAAAAATGTTTCCGCCTTGTCCGGCATTTTTCCTCAAAACTTGCATGTTCACATTTTTCCTTCAGTTATTCAT